GCTGTAGGGGAACTCCATGTGTAACCATTAAAGAATCTCTAAATAGTTTTTCCAAAGCAACTGCACCATTCTACATTCTTATCAGCAATGGATGAAGGTAAAATCCCTGATTTTTAACTGGGCACTGGGCTCATAGCCATTCAAAATAAAGATGACATTTTCAAGTCTTCCTTTCATGCAGTGTGACTTGTTCCAGCCAATGGGATGGGAGAAGAAGTTAAGGTTTTGCCCTTGAAAGAAAGGAGAGTTCACTCTCCTCCACCCTTTCCCCTTTACAGTGGTAAACTATCTTTGGTCATACGGACAAGAACAACATGGGGATGATAGTGCCTCCAGACAGAAGGAACTTGGGACTCTGGACAGTTTTGTAGAGCAATGCTGCCATCCCAGTGTGGATTTTTATGGGGAAGAAAAAGAAACTTCTAACTCGTGTAAGCCATTGTTATTTTGGGTGTCTCTCAGAGGAGCCAAATGTATAGTTTAATTAATACACTTGCTTTTTATTTTAGTTATACTTCTTCTTCTTTTACTTCCCCTCTTTTAGGTGGGAGGTACTGCTCCAAGCAGTAACTCAGAGCGCAGATCCACTCCCTTTTGCAACCACACCTGTCACCTTGTAGTTCTCTGCTTCTGCCCTAAGGGAAGTAAAGTGTGGAGATCCCACATCTACTCTTAACTGTCCTCGGCCAGGAGGGTCCCACTCTTTCCCTGCCCACAGTTCTCTGGCCATAACTATTCATCTGGCCCCTACCTAACTGTGAAAGAGTCTTGGAAATGCAGGGGAGCACATGGGTCTTTGGACAGCATTAATTGATCTGCCAAAGGCTTCCCCTGGAGGTCATTTCTCCTCAGATCATAAATACTGGTGTTTTCTGGCCTTGGTTCTCTTCTTTCCTCCTGGCACATGCTCTCCCTGGGTGGTCTCATCCACTTCCAAGTCTTTCACTGCCACAACCTGCTGATGATTTGTAAAACTCAATCTCCAGCTGAGACTTCTCTCCAGGCCTGGAGACAACTATATCTAACTGCTGGAACATCTCCAGTGGAAGGTCTTTGGGTACAAAAACACAACATGTGGGTACAAGTGATCACCCAAATCCAAATTTTAGTGGTTCTCCACTCCATCTTTTCTTTCTCTCTTCCTTCCTTCCTTCCTTCCTTGTTTGCCTTCCTTCCTTCCTTTTCCTTTTTTTTCTGAGTCAGGGTCTCACTCTGTTGCCCAGGGTAGAGAACAGTGGCACCATCATCATTCACTGCAGCCCCCACCTCTTAGGCTCAGGTGATCCTTCTGCATCAGCCTCCCTTGTAGCTGGGACTGCAGGCACACGCCACCCTACCTGGTTAATTTTCTGTAGCGATGAGGCCTTGATATGTTGCCTTGACTGGTCTTGAACTCCTGAGCTCAAGCAATTCTCCTGCCTCGGCCTCCCAAAGTGCTGAGATTACAGGCCTACACCACCATGCCTGGTCACCATCTTCTTTTACCCCCCTGAAAATACACCCTTCCCAAATATGCTGAGTCTCCCTTCTCCTTTGATGGTTGTAGTTTTGTCAGCAGGTTGTAGTTCCTGTTGCTTTTTCCCTTTCAAAAGAATTTTCTCAGCCATTGTGTACACAGACCTCAGCTGGGCTTACCCTATGCCTGTCTGAAACCAGCTTAGGCTCAAGTTAGGCCTCCTGTTAAACTGAATTCTCACTTCCTGTCCCAACCTGCTCTTCCTCAGTGAGCTCCCACTGTTGGTGAAATGAACAGTCATCCACCTGGCTGCCCAGAAACCTGGGAATCACCTGAATTCCTTCCTGTCCTTCCCTTGCCTCATTCAGTCAGCCATCATGTGCTACCAGTTCTACTGCCTTTCTGTCCCTCAATTATTTACTTACCCATCAATCCTCATGACCATGGCTTATTTCAGGCCTTTGACTCTTGCCTGGATTAGTGGAACAGTTCTAAACCGTCTCTCAGCCTTCTGTCTTACCACCCTTTCAAGCGATCTCTCCATCATGAAGCCTTCAGTGACTGCTTGCAAAAAGCCCTTCCTAACCTGGTCCTGGGCATGACCTCTCTACCCTCATCTCCTGCCGTTCTGAGATATCAGAGCCAAACACTTGTATTCCGATTCTGGCTGCACCTTTTACTGTGTGATGATGGACAAGCCACTCAATCTCCCCAAACCTCAGTTTCTAAATCAAATGAATGAATTCAATCACTTAACTTTCTGTGTATTAGGCACAGTACTGGGGGACATAGAGATGAATGAGACAAAGCCCCTGCACTCAAAGAGCTCTCAGACATGTCAACAAATTATTGTACCGTGAGATAATAAGTACTATAATCCAGGAACATACAAAGTGTCATATGATTAGCATGAAACCAGCCTGTTTCCAGAGCAAGGAAGGGTGGAGGCAGAAGAGAGCCTTCCGAGTGACGCTGGAGTTCTGCAGCAGGGGATATTATTGTCCTCTAAAATCCATTCTTCTTTTCTTCCTGAATAGTACAGTCCTTTTCCAGCAGGGCATTCAGTCATCCAGAATAAAAAGTACATTTTCCAGCCTCCCTCTAAGCTAAGTGTGGCCGTGTGAGTAAGCTCTGGTCAATGGAATGTCAGAAGTGCTAAGAGGATATCTGGGATGTCTTTAAAGGGAGGATACATGCTCTCCTTTTCCTTCTTCCTGCTCTCTGGGAGATGGACATGATAGCTGGAGCTGGAGCAGCTGGACCTTGGACTTGAGGCTGTTGTTGAGGGTAATAGTGCAACAGAACAGAAGGAGCTTTGGGTGGTCTATCTATATCCACATGAGAGGAATAAACTTCCATTTTGTGTAAACTATTCTCTTTCTCTTATTATTATTATTTTGGTCACTTGTAGCTAAGCCTAATTCTAACTAATACACACTAAGTCTAAAAAAGTGAATTTACCAGGAGATAGGGTTTTTGAAACAAAGGGAATAGCCTGGATGGAGGCTCAGGGTCCTGAGAGAGGTGGTGTGCTCAGGGAACGCCATGGTTTTGTGTGGCAGATGAGACCGAAATGGGTTGGGATAAGCCGCAGCAGGCAGGACTGTGGCAGAGAGATCTGTTGGAGATTACAAAAGCCATCAAGGTGAGAGACAACGGGGCAGAGACAGTGGGGGAAATGGAGGGGAGGGGATCAATTCAAGACACATTTAGGAACAAGAATCAGGAGCTTGTGAATGTGTGTGTAAGTGCTGTATGCGGAGTAGACACATGAGTTAGGGAAACTCTCCAGCCTTGCTTTCCCTCTGCTGTCACACCCTCACAACAATCATCAATACAGAAGAAGACTTCTGTGACCCCACACACCAAGCAGTGGACACCAGCTGGGCGTCCTCTAGTTCAATTCTGACACTATCTGCCTGGAGACAGCATCAGATTCCATAGGGTGAGGGCTCAGTCCCCTGAGACTGCCCTCCATCCCATACACCAGTCATAAATCCAGCCTCCGGAACTTCTGACCAACTGGTTTCAAGTTGGGGTTCCCATAACCCCTGCTTTGGATTGGATTAATTTGCTGGAGCAGTTCACAGAACTCAAGGAAACACTTCTGTTTACTGGTTTATTATAAGGGATATTGTCAAGGATACAGATGAAGAGAAGTGTAAGATGACGTGTGGGGGAAGGATGTAGAGCTTCCACGCTCTCCCTGGGCCTGCCACCCCCAGGGAACCTCCACATGTTCAGCTACCCAGAAGCTCTCTGAACCCTGTCCTTTTGAATTTATATGGACGCTTCATTATGTAGGCATGATTGACAACTGTATAGAAATGTGATTGGACAAAAAACACAAGATCCAAACCCAGCAAGATCTGTCTGTTCACTTTTCTTGGCCTGTCTGTGCAGCCTTCCTTTATCTAGAGTCTAGGCTCTGGAATGAGGGTCTTATGACCTGCAATCGTATTAGAGTCCTTCCTTGGGCAGGTGAAAGAAAGGCAGGAAAAGGATGGGGGGGAGAGGAGAGAGAGAGAGAGAGAAAAAAGGAGGAAGAGGAGGAGAGAGGAGAGGAAAAGAGAGAGAGGGAGGCAGATAGGAGAGAAAGAAGGAGATGCAGAGAAAGAGAGGAGAGGGAGAGAGAGGGGAAGGGGGAGGGGGAGAGACAGAGGCAGAGGGAGAGGAAGAGGGCGACAGGGAGAGCGTGAGAGGTGAGGGTGAGGGACAGATTCTATTTTCTGAGGCCTAAAGCACCCCACATTATAATAAAAGACTGTAACAAAGGCTATGGGAGTTATGCACCAGGAATCATGGATGAAAACAAATACCTATATCATAACGCCACAGCATGCCATATAGAAAAATCTGGGCTTTATCAAGCAACAGTAAAAAAAGAAAAAGGAAAAGAAAAAATCTGGGATTGTGGTTTGCCCGCCTCTGAGGCCCTGCAGGTGTCCAGCCTTTCCCCATGGGGAGACTCTTCCTTTTGCTCCAATTCCTTGGGCCCAGAGTCCCTGGCCCAGATGCCTCCTACCGTTTTATCTTCACCCTGCCTGGCTTCCCCTGCTTGTTCTGGGCTTATTTAATAAAGTGGGATGTGGGAGGGCCTTTAACCCTACAAATGCTGCTTTCCCCAGGCTGCCTGAGTAGCCTGTAGTGGAGCTGCCCAGGGCTGCTCAGGCTCTGGCCAGCAGCTGGACATAGTCCCTCTTTGGCTGGTTGGGGCACAGTGCCTCTGAGTAATTGTGTAAGAGAGGGGCTCTCAGCAGACAAACAGGCTCCTCTCTCCCGGTGGGCCAGCCAGCAGGCCAGTGGGAAGGTTGAAGGTCATGGAGCTTGGGGGGAACTGGGTGAAGAGTTCAGCCCCACTCCTAGTAAAGCTTCCAGGGAGCACTTCTCTGCTGGGCAGCCCCTTGATACTAGGGCACTCATTAACCCTCTGGGTGCCAAGAAAAGGGCAGGAGGTGAGCACTAGGCGGTAGCTGAGGTCATCCTTCTTTGAACCTCCACGTGGTGTTTACTCAGAGCAGTTGTTGCCAGAGGCCCCTGGAGTATAAAGCAGAATGTCTGCTCTCTGTGGCCATAACTGAGCAGGTGAGCAACCAGGGTAGAGGGATGGGGGTTGGAGTCCCAAGGTGGGGGGGGAGGACTCAGGAAAGAGCAGGGGCCGCCAACTAGGACATCTTGGAGAACTTTGGCAGAGTTGCTTCTTCCCCCTTGTTATGCCTCAGTTTTTCTGGCAATGAAATGGGTGGCAGGGAGATAGGTGGGTGAGGGAGAGTTGGCAGAAGTGGCCTAGGCAACTACTCTTGGCGTCTGGGAAGGGTGGTGGGGGGAACTTTGTGAAGCGGCTAGAGCTCCACACTCTGCTATGTGACAGAGAAAGGAGTACCCCCACCCCTCCCCATCTGAGGAAGACACCTCTTCCCTCCCTGCCTCCTGACTCATCTGGGTCAGTCCTGTAGAGCCCCAACAGTTCTGTGCTCCCAACACCCCAAGGAAGGGTTAATAGGGTTGTGAGCAGGTTGCCTCTGGGCCCTCCAGGGCAAGTCTCCTGCGAGCATCCTTCCTTTGCTTCTTCCCCTAACCAGACCTCCCTCCATTCACCTTGTTTCTCAGAACCCATAATGGCAAGCATGGCTGCGGTCTTCACCTGGACTCTGGCTCTCCTCTCAGGTAGGTCTCCAACCCTGACTTCAGTGTAGGGGTGTGGGCGGGGGCAGGACTGAGGAGCCTGCCCACCCTGGGGGAGGAGAACCCAGCCCCAACACCCCATCCCTCTCTGCAGCGTTTTCAACCACCCAGGCACGGAAAGGCTTCTGGGACTACTTCAGCCAGAGCAGCGGGGACAAAGGCAGGGTGGAGCAGATCCAGCAGCAGAAGCTGGCGCGGGAGCCCGCGTGAGTGGCCAGGGCAGGGGGCGCGGGCGAAGGGAGGAGACAGACGGGTCATGGGATGCCATCTGCCTCCGGTTCCTCAACCTCCGTGGTCCCCACTGGGACAGAGAAACTCAGTCAAGCTCGCTCTGGGGGCATATCCCGGCCGTGCCGGGCTCTTCCGCGCCCTCTGCCGACAGAGCCCTCCTCCGGTGGCTATCCCTTCCTCCCCGCTGGGGCGTGGGACCTGGGATGAGTGGGGGAGGACCCCCATCGCAGTCCCCGGAATGAAAAGATGGTGTGAGAGTCTTGGTGCATCTGTGCTCGCTTGGACAGTGTTGTAGGTCTGGATGTGCATGTGCCATGTGCTTGTGCTTCGTGGGTGAAGAGTTGCAGCCGGCCGGAGCTTAGGTCTTCTAGATCCCCTGCTCTGGGGCGACCACCCTACATCCCTGGTTTCCCCTGAGGATCAGTGCGCGATGTCGCTGGGGGCAAAGGAGACGATGGGGGCTAGGAGTCTGACGGCCTGGATATCTGTCCCCTTTCCCAGGAGCCTGAAAGACAGCCTTGAGCAAGACCTCAACAATATGGACAAATTCCTAGAGAAGCTGGGCCCTCTGACAGGGCAGAGGAGGGAGCCTCCTCGACTCCCCCAGGACGTGGAGGGCATGCGGCAGCAGCTGCAGGAAGAATTGGATGAGGTGAGGGCGCGCCTGGAGCCCTACATGGCGGAGGCGCACGAGCTGGTGGGCTGGAACTTGGAGGGCTTGCGGCAGCAGCTGAAGCCCTACACGCTGGATCTGATGGAGCAGGTGGCCCTGCGCGTGCAGGAGCTGCAGGAGCAGCTGCGCGTGGTCGGAGAGGACACCAAGACCCAGCTGCTGGGCGGCGTGGACGAGGCGCGGGGTCTGCTGCAGGACCTGCAGAGCCGCGTGGCGCACCACACCGGCCGCGTGAAGGCGCTCTTCCACCCGTACGCAGAGAGCCTGGTGAGCGGCATCGGGCGCCACGTGCAGGAGCTGCATCGCAGCGTGGCCCCGCACGCCGCCGCCAGCCCCTCGCGACTCAGCCGCTGCGTGCAGATGCTTTCGCGCAAACTCACACTCAAGGCCCGGGCGCTGCACACGCGCATCCAGCGGAACCTGGACCAGCTGCGCGAGGAGCTCAGCAGCGCCTTTGCCCTCGCCGGTGCCGACGGGGCCGAGGAGGGGGCCGGCCCGGACCCCCAGGCCCTCTCCGAGGAGGTGCGCCAGCGACTCCAGGCTTTCCGCCACGACACCTACCTGCAGATCGCCGCCTTCACCCGCGCCATCGACGTGGAGACGGAGGAGATCCAGCAGCAGCTGGCGCCACCCCCGCCAGGCCACAGCGCCTTCGCCCCCGACTTCCAACGACTGGACGGTGGCAAGGCCATGAGCAAGCTGCAGGCCCGTCTGGACGACCTGTGGGAAGACATCACCTACAGCCTTCATGGCCATGACCATGGCCATCTGGGAGAGCCCTGAGGGTCTACTTGCCCAGGCCCACTTCCCAGCTCCTCCTCTGGGGAGTCGGAGCCCTGAGCTTCCTGTTTGGCTCAGTCCTTGAAAGTGGCCTGTGGGGTGGAGGGTGGAGAATCCTGCACAGGTCAGGCGAGGCCTCCAAGGGGGCTTCTGTCCCCAGCATATGCAGCCTCCTGTGACTCCCCCATCTGGATGCATTACACTCACCAGGCTTTGCAAACCCAGCTTCCCGTGCTCATTTGGGAATCCTCCTGAGTTGCTCCATTCAAGGGTGAGGGAGTAGGGAGGGAGAAAGGCACCACTGTGCAGGTAGTTATCTGCAAGTCTATTTGCCGTGGGGCTAGAAGCCTGTGCCAATACACCCGGAGCTTGACTCTGGTCACTTCTGGCTGCCTGATGGCCACTGCTACAACTGGTCCACAGAGAAGAGCACTTGTTTCCCCAAGCTGCCATGGCAGCTTCGGTCAGGGGAATAGAAGAGGGAAAGGAGGATAATTCGATGGGGAGAACATGATGGTGTGTGTGTATATACATCCCTGCTGGCAGGCATGGATGGTGAGGGCTGGGTTGGGAGAGGGCCCACTCCGTATTTCCCTACATAGCTCTGCACCTAAATGAGGACTGAATCCTTTGAACTGTGGGGGCTGCTGCCGCCGCTGCTGCTTCTTTTTCGGAGTGCAGACTTTTTTGTAGAGACAAAGTCTTGCTATGTTGCCTAAGCTGGTCTCGAACTCCTGGGCTCAAGCGATCCTCCCACCTCGGCCTCCCAAGGTGCTGGAATTACAGGCATGATCCACCGTGGAGGACATGTGAGGGTTTCTTAAACCCTTTGGGGAGCATACTGTGTGCCCTTCCCCATCTCCAGGCCCTCCCTCCTGACTCTCAAGCTGAAGTCTAGACTTCTGGCTCAAATGAAAATAGATGCTGATAATGGAAGTTTGTTTGCCTGGTGTGACTCTCATTTGGACCATGTCTGAAAGCAGCGGCCTTACCACTGTCCCCAAAGCATACTCATCACCCACTCTATTCCCTTGCTGCTCTTTCTCACCGGGCCCTCCCAATCTAGGTCTGTCAGAGGGGCTCTGGCTGGGCTCTGTTCCAGGAGTCCTGGCTGGACAACAGCTGTCACACCTGGGGGGTGGGCCTGGGTTACAAACCCTTCCACAGCATCCACATTGTCCACCATCCTGCTTACCACAGGACATAGTACAGGGAATGCAGGCTGTCACTGGAGGAGCTGTGGCCCTGGAGGACTTGAGACTTCAGAGGTGGACTGTCCCCTTTGTCCATGCCATTCCAGAGTTTGACCTCTTTTTATGCCTGACTTTCTTCTTGGGACTCCCAAACCCTTAACACCCCCCTTCATGTACACACTCAATTGGGGCACCATAGCTCTGCATAGACCCCCTGGGGACTGTGAAATTGGGGGTGAAGTGAGGGGAGAGAAAAGCGTCAACACAGCTTGGCACTGTCTTTGGCACTGTCTTGCCCAGCACTCTTTCCCCCAGCTCAACCTGCAGTTACATGGCTCTCAGGTCCGCCCCACGCCCTCATAGCGCAGACCTCACATGAACCTGGGCTGATTCCGTCTTCAGGCTGGTCTTCCCTGACACCCTGGGTTTAGACACTTTCAGCAACACAACTGAGTTGTGGCCCCAGCACAAGGAGAGGAAGTGCTAAAAGAAAAATTTCCTTAAAAAGAGGTGTTTTTGTTGTTATTAGGTAACTGGGAAAGGGTGAGTCAGGCGGGGTGGAATGTGGTGGGGATGGGGAAGTGGAAGTAAAAATAAGGGCTCGCGGGTTCGTGACCCGCCTGGGCAGCGAGACCTCATCTCTACAATAAATCAAAAAATCAGTTGGCCGTGGTAGCAGCGCATGCCTGTAATTCCGGCTACTCGGAAGGCTGAGGCAGAAGGATCGCCGGAGCCCAGCAGGTCGAGGCTGCGGTGGCCAGGAGCGGCCGCTGCACTCCATTCTGGGCGACAGAGTGAGATTCCAACTCAAAAAGTAAATAAATACATTTTAAAAAAAAGGGCTGTGTATTTGAGGCTGGAATTTGGGGAGGTAGTTATGAGGACAGAATTGGGAGTGGGAAGATCAGAAAGGGAGAAAGGGATGGAGGGACTGACAGGGGGACGAAGCTGAGCCACCGGAGTGGGGGACCTAGAGCCCAAGCAGGGTGTGGCCCAACACCGGGACGAAGCGTGCCTGGGTAGGGTGCACCTCCTGGCAAATACCCAGGGACAAGCCGGGTCCCCTTTCCCTCAAGGCTTCTAGACAGACTTATGGGCCAACAGAACCCTATGAGAGGGAGCCACTGCGAAGGAGCAAAAAAACCGTCCTGGGTCTGAGAGGACGTCCTGGGAAGTGACGGCTGAGCCGAGGTGGATCCAGCTGGCTATGGAAGTCTGGGCCACAGAGTCCCGGGAACTGGGAGCCCTTGTCAGATACTGCTCCTCCAGGGTTCAGAGTCTGCGGCCTCTTTAAGAAAGGGCGGGACAGCAGCTGGCGGAAGTGCCGGGGAAGTGGGTGGGGCCACGAGAACAACGGAAGCCGGAAGCCGAGGCCGAGCTGCGCGTGGTGGCGATGGCGGCCAGCGGGGCTGTGGAGCCCGGGCCTCCTGGGGCTGCTGCCGTC